TACTTAATGGCACACAACTTTGGACAGCTCTTCCCTTCATGAACCTTATCGTCATATTCATTCTCATCCAACCAGTGATTTTACTGATTTTCTTGAAGCTTTAGATCGCTCTAAATTTCCGATTTTTCGATTTTCTTCATCTTTTTCGCGATATTCTAAACTATCGTTCCCATTATTCGTCAAAACGAGATGCCCCAGAATATCGGGAGGTTTTTTTAAATAGCGTCCATCGTCTTCACAAACCTCAGTTCAATGCGCCTTCCATTCATTACGGCATGTACAGGGAGGCTGAAAAGTATAGGACGCCATAATTGCAAAGTAACTTCAGAGATAAAGACGACGGGACAAATCACCTACAACAAGGAATGGAATAGAGTGACTTATGATAGGAGGTGTACGATGTTTAATCCTTTTCCTTTTACACAGGTCTCTAGACGTCCGATGACTGAATCAACAGTGAGCCGCAGGCAGCCGACGTCATTATTGCCCCACGCCTTCTGTAGCGCCAACTTCAGAGTCTAACGGGTGGCAGTATCGTCCCGCGAACTTGATGGATCTCCAAATACCCCTACACAGAGAAATCCATTGAATTGAGGTCTGGCAAAGAGAAAGGTATAATGTCCTTGCCCCAGTACCCGGCAATGTCCGCATCCAGCACGGCTTCCGTCGACTTTAAGGCATGGCAAGAGGCCTTGTCTTGCTGGAGAACGAAGAATCGGTTACCAAAGGGATCAGTGTCCCAGGGTAGAAGGGTGTCCATTAACCCTTTGACGACAGTGCGCCTTTTTGCGTGTCTGGCGCGCGGGACAGACGCATTTCGAAGCTTTCCGCTCCCGCGGCTCACCGTTGAGCCGCGCTGTCCCACGTGTGACGCATTTTTCTAGAGTAAACATTTTTGCTTTTTTTCAAGTGTTTTTTTCATAGTTTAGTTTAAAATAGGTACATATTGGGTAACTGTGAGTCTACTACTTTAGTTATGTCTGGTTCGATGCATAATATAGCATTGAGAGTCGACATGGATCAGCCTCCAGTGGACGATTTGGAGGGTGGTTTTGAAAGATTACTGGTCGAACCCGACGAAAATAAAACTGAAAAATAAAATTTTTCAGGCTGTATTTTGAAGGTGTTGCACATGGGGTTCAAGATTTACTCAAGATTCAGATTCGAGATTTACGGTAGTCAGCCCACAAGCTGTTTGCTGTAGTCATGACTAATGGACTGGCCACTGAATCAAGGAATGCATCTCTATACCGAAATCTAGTGAATGACTTAGAGTGACCCCAACTATCTCGAGCTTATGGAAGTGTTCACACCCCTACAAGACGAGTCAGTACTAGGGGCAGAAAATGTGAGAGTCATTTTTACATTGACTGATTTCAAAAAATGCATAAGGGTGATTTCCGGGGAGGGAATTGGATTTATTAGTAGTTTTCAGAAATTAGCAATGTTTTCCCTAGCCCACTTTGTGGATAGTGTTACTTCGTGATTGCAAACCCATTAACTACAAGAAACTCCAAGTAAATCTAAAAATCGAGAAAAACAACCGATGAGAAGTGTGCGGTCCACCGTTGAGCCGCGTTGTCGTCGAAGGGTTAAAACCGTCTTTTGGTAGACCTCGGAATTGATTTTCACATTCCTGTCAGTGAAAACCAGTGGTGTTTCGCTTTTTGATGTCACCACATCCCAAACCATAATCCTTTTGGAAGATAGTCTGCTATGCACAAGACGACGCTTCGGGGACCTGCTGTCAGTTTTTGACAACGACCGTCTCTGGTTTTGACGGTTTGGATAGTGTCTTACCGCGAAAATTTTCTCATCAGTCCAGATCACGTCACAGATGCGGCAACCCTGAACTCTCGATGAAGTTTTTTGCATTTTATTAGCTGACTTTGCTTGCACTGCTCCGAGAGAAACTTCCCTCTACCGAGCCAATAACTGTTTAGGTCGCATTTCGCAGTCTTCTGGAGTGTTTGACGGTGATGTTAAGGTCAGAAGCAACCACCTTTCATGCTGGCTTCATCGCTGCGGGTGATTCTCTTCCTAATGATAGCACGAATCCTCGATGTAGTAACTGTGGTCGGTCGTCCACTTTTGGCGCCTCAGAGGCTTTTTCTCGAGTCCTGAGCGCCAAGCCGTTTCGCGATGATACAACAGTCAAATCAACGGTAGCAGCGGGAAAATAGATGAAATGATGAAGACGATGGAAGAAAGAGTATTCAATGCTTCATCCATCCATCTATTCAACGAGAAATTGATAGCCAATCTTCTCGTAGCCCTCTCATGAGCTTCAGCTAACCATATGGCCGATATTTATGCAAATGACAGCCATTCAGAACGAAGCTATTTAAACCCAACCATGAATTGGCTTGATATCATGGCCAGTGTATGTAGTACCCTTGACAATATAATCTTTGCAAAGATTCTCCATTTCAAGTACTGGAACAATGGGCTGCGTTTAGACAGGGAACTCAAAAGTGGGCAGATATTTAAAGAGATGGTAATAAAAGGAAAGTTAAGAAAAAGCTAAGCCCTATCAGCATTGTCTTGTTCGGAAGCTAGTAAAGTTGGTTACGTAACTGCTCAATTTCGCCACCATGGCTGCAGAAAGAGGTATACAGAAGAATCATGAGCGGCCAAATTCAACGTGTCGTTTTTGAACGGCGTTGTAAACGATTGTAAACGGTAAACCCTTTTTCGATTCTGAGCTGGATTACTTTATAGGTGCGAATCTCGCTTGTAGGAATTGGGTGCCATGTTCAAGGAAGTATGAGCAGACACAAGGAAAAGTGAGACCTTCACTGTGTTCACTCTGCCCAAGACAAAGAAGCAGAAACTGGAATTGTCGAACACCCCTGCTAACGTATTGGCCGAAACGAGTAAAAATTGAGGACGGTCAAGAGATGTGCATTGGAATTATGCCTCAATAACAATTTTCTCCACCACCAAGCTCATTTACCCATTTTCGAATCGGGCACTGTCGTAGTTAAAACACTGACGGGGTTAGCACACAGAGCCCAAAAGTCACAAGCATTGGGTTGGGAGGGATGCGGATGAGCATGTCAGGGCTGACTCACGAACAGTCACGTGGTTCAAGTGGGCACTCGTCATGGCTATAAAATTTTCGGGCGTGTCTCATGTTTGTGCGCTACCATCCGTTCGTCGAGAAATTGGTGATACACTTCGGAAGGACTGTTTTTTCTCCAGAGTCGTTAAATCTGAGTTAAGGGCGTGGAGATTTAACGACTCTGAAAAAGAAAACCATTCTCCTGAAGTGTGTCACCAGTTTCTCGACGAATGGGTGGCAGCTCTCTGTATCGGGGCGACCGCCATCGCTTACGATCATTCCAAACTCCTCACACCTCGAACTTATCAGCAGGCATTTGAAGAGAAAATATCGAAACCTGAATTCAACCGTCGTATTCGACCTTCATACAACCGTGTGTACGGCTTCATCCATTCTGGTCACCACACCCTGCTTTGTGCCTGGATTCTAACTGGACGTTGGGAATGGGTAGTTGAAAACGATGGAGCCTACTTGAGTAAACAGCAAAATGTTGGCCTTTCATCCCCTTCCTTGTATAATTCATTCGAGAATAGCTTGCGAATTATTGAATGAATTGACCTGAATTTTCTTAAATACTAGTAGCTCTCTGAATTGAGAAACCGCAGTGAATTTCTCTGAGCAGGAACACCCGCAAGCTGCAGCATACATACATACATATATCAGCGATCATTAGACAAGGGGTAATCTCACTGAATAAAGCTCACCTTGAGGGAAGGATTTTGTGACTCTGCGTCTAAGCTAGGACGAACGTTTTGTGCCTGTATTAAGTGTGAAAAAATTCCAACTCCTTACAGTTTCCTCCTGCTCTCTCCGTATCAGCGCGAGGAATAGGAGTTCACTTTCGCCAACCCTCCGCTACAACTAATTGCGAAGACAAGCCGATAAACAGGTTAGTGTTCTATCCTCCCTGCCATGACCGGTACCAATCAATTTACTCCGAGCGGATGGAGATCTATTAGCCCTAGGCGGGTTTCGGTCAAGGACTTCGGCCCCTACTCACCTTGGCTAAGCAAGTCCTGGGTATATTTCGTAATTAGGAGTATGCTACTCAGCCTCATCCCTCCCCTGCCTTTCTCTGAATCTTTTTTCCTTCCTTAATATTCCTTCGTTCGTGATATAATTCAGAATAATTCTGTAATCCTCCTGGGTGTTCTCATAGTAGAAGCGCCCCAATTGAAGGTACAAATTTTGAAGGAGGAGTGAAATGACTTTTTGGCAAAATGCGTCTTCATCGAACACGTAGCCATAGTGACCAGCTTGAGCCACTTTCGTCAACTCCGTCCACGCTCTTATCATTCGGCCGATTCTCACAGTTCCAGTATTCCCATACAACTGAGACTTCTGCAGACCCAACCTAAACTACATTACAAACGTCAATAAGACAGCACCTCCCTGCAAAACTCATTTGTCATGCGAGAAGTGGGAGATGCTCATACTTTGTGAAAGGTGTTGTGGTAATTCCAGTGAGGTAACGAGGTGATGACTTGGGAAAGATGAAGTCTTTCGACGATGCTTTGATCTGTGCCTTTCATATAGCAACCATGGCAAAAGGGAGTATGTTGATGGCTGTGTCTGCGAACGTCCAAACGCTCTTCCGCTACGATGACCACTCGGGCGAGTGAAGAACACAAATAATGCGCCCCAATACAAAGGCCGCGACGCGACCGCACTGCCACGGACAGTGTTCACATGGGGGTTACTTTTCCCTTATTGCTGCTCTCGATCTTCTTTTTGCTTTCAGTACATAAGGTTGTTGGGTACTCGGGTGTGTTTCCATCTGCTTTCCTCGTATTCTATCTCATTAAATGCTAATAGTATACCTCATTGCAGCTCGGATAATTGGACCTCCCGAACGTCGTATTGATTTGAAGTTATCGGATTCGTGTGAGCGTCCAACGTCCAGTTACACTTAGCTATTTTATCGTAAACGAGCCGAATGAGCTCTACTGTTCCTGCTGTTGGTAAGCATCTGTTATTCCATTCCTACAGCTCTCAGGTTACTGCTAACTTTTCCCAATTGCTTGGTATGCTTAGTTGATACCGCTGATTCTTCCATTGGAGAAGTCGCTGAGAACTGGGAAAATGATGAAGCTGGAGAAAGTATGGAAAAACAGCTCAGCGAGCGTTTTAAGCAGGTATCTTCTCTATTTTTTTTTGTGGTCAAAGTAAGGGCTGGGCAAAGCCTTCTGATTCCTCTCGATTGCTTTCTTACTAACAATACTTTATTATTTTTGTTGGGAAGCTGTTTAAGAAAAGTTAATGTGACAAATAGGCTCTCACGCGACCTCCCATATGCTTCCTATTGATTTGCCCATCATTCAAAGTAAACATCTGCTACCTCTTGAAAGTGAGCAGTCTTTTGTTTTCTAATAGTTTTCTATAGGGTGTCATTAATCAATTGAAGTTTAGTTTACGTATTTCTCGATGATTGTATAAGTGAATCCATGACTTTATTGTGTCTTGGGGAAAGTCAAGTATCATCTGTTCAATAGCACCCTAAAGGTGATTACTCAGTGGTTCTGGTTCACACGCGCACTGGTCGTTCCCGGCGAGTCTGCGCGCAATGACCTATATCGGCTGGTCCCAGTGTTCTTTGATGCTGTGAACATCGTATGAATGTTTAGCAGCTACTTTTGACTGTAAGGTCCAGCCATATCTGTTACATTTCTTTGATGAACAAAATTCATTCAACGAGGGACTGCCTATTATAAGAGGCCAGCCTATCTCTCGTTGGATAAATTGCTCTCTTGTCGAGGCAACACACAATTTCGAGGCATTTTAACCCTTTATCATCGAACAGTATCATCGTAACTTCCAGTAATATTTCACATTTTATTTGATAATCAGTAGGAATTCGCCATGCTCAAATAAATTCAAGGTCCTAGACTCAATCCTGCATTGTTTTCATGGAGTACACGGAGTATGAATACTGAATACATGCAGACTGTGTTGGACTAAGAGAGATGGGGAAAAGGGGAAAGCAATGTATGGTCACTCTTGCACATAATTTTGTCCAAGCGTCCATGATCCGGGCTGTTTCGCTTTGTTTAGTGTGATATGGAAATAGAGGGAGAGTGCGATAAGGGGGCGTTCAAAAACAATAATCATTGTAAAACAAGGAACAATGATAAAGAATAATCAATTCAAGTGAAGACTTCATCACTAAAAAAGAGGAACAAGATGCTGATGGATAAGATATTGATTGCATCCTGGGAAATCACATTTACGCGTTTGCGGTTTGGGGAAAATCTTGCCCGTATTTTCGTCGTAGAGCAACATTTGCAAAAATATAGGAGTTGCTGTGGGTTACCTTCCCTTTGGAACCGGACATGGTGTCATGTTCGTTTCTTTTTCCATGTATTCCCTTTCATACGAACACGGTTTCAATAGAACATTGGTTGAAGCTTTTTCGCCTGCATCCGAGGGCGGAACTTTAGCTTTCGAATTTTATCGGCAGCAGCTCATTGTGTTTATCATTACATCACATTTACAACAGTTGTTTGTTGGATTAGAGTGGCTATTGTTGTTTACTTGCACATTTCCCTCAAGTCATTGGACTCATTAGACCTAATGGTCAAGCCTACAAGAAACCTTTACAGCTATTTTTTTCTAGGTAAAGGTAGTACCTGTCGGTATATTGAGATTCGTATCTTAGGCGAATTAAAGTTGTAGGTGGTTCTTTGACTCAGTGGGTGGGCAGAGGCACAGGTTATTTGTCCCAACATTTCCAAACTCAATCCAAACGGAACATTTTTGCTCCGATATAAACGGGGCACTGATATATTTAGTCAAAATTTAACGCTTTACCCTATGTGGGGTCCGAGCACAGCAGTTTTAAGGCTGGGTAGAGGACCAAGTCCAATTAAGAAAGCGTTCGTCCCCATATCTATTTATGACAAAGTTCTGCTTACTGCCCAAGACATCCATAGTTTTCTCTGTGCTTGACTCAATCGTTTCTCATTTGGAGTAGTTTTTGAGGTGTCCCCGGCTTTCTACCATTCAGATTATTCAGCTGTTACTCATCCATTATAGCCCAGAGAGACCAATTCCTCAGTAGCGGCTTCAAGGATCCTTTTTGCACGCATGACTGAGTGCAACCTCATGCAAGACTTCCTGATCTATCCCAAGCTATATTTTAGAGAATTATAATGAATGGGAATCGATTCACGGGTCATCGTTATTGGCTATTCATCCTATTAGATGATTTGTGTTAGGTAAATTACGTGCTTCCTATTTATCCCTTGATTTACAGATCCGCATTCTGCAAAGGGCGCAGGCAGATAAAGAGGCTCGCAAGGAAAAAGCCGCAAAATGTCAGGAGGAGGCAAGGTTGAAGTAAGTAATCTATATGAAGCACTTAAAATCATAACCGTTGTAAACACGTTCCTTTTCAGTCCAAGTCTCATACCTACCCCGTCCGTTATGCCAGCAGGACCTGGTGGGGCGCCACCAGCTCCTGTCCGGATTCTTCGGCGTCCCGAAAGTAGTGATAAAATCAGAGAAGAGAAGTACCAGGCGCAGCGTGCCAAGGCCGAAGAAGCTGCGAAGAACCAGCTAACTCCTGAGGTACGCTTTCTTCCTCTGCTTTAGATCAAGTATTCTTTGAGCTACACAGTCCTTTGCAGCAAAAAGAAGCTTTGTATGTGAAAGCACGGGATCGAATTATGGGCCCAGAATACAAGCCTGACAATTCACAAAATGCTCAAAATGTAGCAATTGTCAGTAGGTCAGTTTTCTTTGAGCTCTTCAAAATAACTGGTAGTTGTTTGAACTGAATTCGTTATGGAGTTTAGAAATTAGATGCATCTAATTTGTTTATGGTTGGTAGCTCGGTAAAGTGTGTAATTATTTAAATTGTATCCGTGCTGACGTTCATGTCACCGTTCAAAATTGCCTATGAATTTCGCTTGTGACGATATCCTTAACTTCCTGGTACAGTTGTTGAGCCGTCAGGTTTCGTGATTAATAGCTTTTCTCAAAATTTATTTTGAACATTTAGGTGTAAATCTCCAGAACAAATCCGAGTGCCTCGTTTTACTGATCTACCCCTCGCTGGAGCCATAGGTGGTCCAACTCTTGACGGAACAATGGGAGGGCCAATTGTAATGCCGTCAATGGGCACTGTGCAAGGAGTTCCTCCAACTTCTGCAGTTACGACACCATTGGCGCCCAATCAGCTGCCATCGCAGCAGAAACCAGCGTCGCTTTTAACAATGTCATCGCCCCCAATGGGGATGCCGGTACAACAAGTAAATCCTATCCCCCAGCCAGGACGAACTCAGCAAGTTGGAGTGATTGGGCAACCACCCAAGGGCGTGGTGACAGCGCCTCAACCTCCACAGCCCATAAACGCTTATTCGCAGTATGTCATTTCTCAGCCTCAACAACATATACCCTACACAATGGCGATGGGTGCAAAACAGGTGGGGCTGTTACCTTCCTATTGCTGAAATCACAAAATATTTTTTTCAAATCTTCACAGTTTTGTCTTTTTAGTTCGATCCAAATGGGAAAACTACTAATTATTTCCATTTGCATTTATTCGAAATATTAATGTGACATATGGAGTCAAGCGCTTTTTTTTTTCAAAAAATGGCCGAGTAGTAATGGATACTTGTTTATTTTAGGAAAATAAGAATCAAAAAGCCCGGAGAATTTATCATTCTAGCATTTCGCTGCGCTTGCCGTATTACGGACGTCGCACCACTTTTCTCAATTGCCTTTGAGTATTACTGCCATTGATAACGTTCTGTCTGCGGCTCAAAAAACTTCGGAATATTTGTTTACTTGTGCTTGTTTGCTCTCTTTCGGCATGCCTTTTGCGATTGAGAAGAGATGTCTTTTCCTAATTGAGTTGCTGAGCTACGGAGGAAATTTCATCAGTTTTGTGCTCCCTAAAAAGTGGTCAAAGGTGTGTTTCAGCGTATGTGAGCCCATTAAAAGATCGTCCTGTCTTGCCTTGGTGTTTGAAGGTGAAGATACGTGCAGGCGTACAATGTAATGCTGCTTCTGGATTGTGTACGTGGCCTTCGCGGGGGACTGCTGAATAGTGAATCTCATTGGTCACAAAAGACACATACATACCTTCTGCACGTCCATCCTTTTTAGCCCTACATACGTAACCTTATTTTTTTATTGCTCTCAGGTGTTGCTTGTTTCCAACTAATCGGAGCTAATTGCTTTCTTGACTTATATATCGACTATATTCTTCTATCTCGTCTTTCTTTTTTTCTTACTTTCATTTTGAGGGTTCCACTAATACGCTTTACATCAAATTAACAAATCCTGCTCATTTTCCATAGGAAGAGTTGCTTCAATGGTCTCTATGCTTTCACATCGTCGTATACAATATGGACTGATATCATTCAAGTCGAATATTGGCTCGAACTCTGTTCCAATATGCGGTTAATCGTTTGAGATAGTCTTTAATTTAATAAGACGCCCACCCTGGCTATGCTCCCACTTCCATGTTTGCTGCGATTTTTGCGTACCAATCATATCGTATAATACTTACTGGTTCACCTTCGCTTTCAACCTGTCTTTTGGAGATACTGTTCCAGCAACAGTCTGCTACATAATGCTAAAATGCCAATGATGCTTGTTTATTACTATGAAAAACGCTCTGTCGCACTTGCACATGGAACTAGTTTTATTTCTCCATGTATAAGAAACCTTGAATTTCAAATAGTGGGTGTAAAAAGAAATTTCATTTCCATGTGCTCGATTGTTGAACCGTTGCCACTAAAAATTTACTTTTCGTCATCTGCGCTTCCACTGAGACTGTGTTCAGTGGTGTTTGATTGGGGACATGGGACGGGAAGGTGGTGTCGGATTACAATCGTTCACTAATATTACTTACTAATCGTTGTTGGAACCTCCATGAAAGTGTTCCGACCCTCACTGAAGGGAAGCTGACCAACCTCAATCAAAGCTCAATACACACTATTTAGCGAAAACGCACAGACGAATAAAAGGAAACTTACGAGCGGTGAGCGCAGTGTGGTTTGATGGCCTCGCTACATACCTCCGTTTTTGTCATCTCCGTCTGTGGGGGCGTGACATATGAGTGCACTAAATGTGTCAGGAGGTCTAACAATGAGCTCATAAAAACCTTTAAAGGTCAGCACCTAACTGCTGAATCGGGTTTGATCTTTTCTGGTGGGTAGACCGTGTCATCTCGTCTGAACGCACGAAAGATTATTGTCTGTACAGCCCCCCCCCCCCCCCCCCCCGTCCACTGTTGTTCACTGACTGTGCGTATTATTGCGAAGAGAAACGCGCCATGCAGTGATTAACAACTCCTAATGCGGTATAGACGACATGAGACTCAGTAGTGGATGGGTATTCATTTCTGCTACTCAAACATAACACACTTCCTGTTGGAATCTTCGACCCTGCACTACTATTGCGTACTCAAATTGCTGTAATTATTATTAGTATTAGGTTGTGCAGAAAATACCATCGAAAAATTTCTTTGAGGTTTCTATGTAAAGACACTACCTGCGCTTGTACGCAGCATAACAAATCCAGTTATTTCTTCCTTTGTTAATCAATCCTTGGCGTCTGGCATCGAAATCTCTTTCAAATGGCAATCTGAACTGCTATCGAATCATCGGTTGATATATCCGCGGTTTTGCCGTTACATTGTGTAGCGTAAACTTATTTATTTATCATTTAATTGAGGTTGAGATTTCCGAATATGAAGTTTAATCGAAAAAAGTTGTTTGGGATACTTTCTGACCTTTTTTTATGTACATCTTCCTTTTGACTTTTGGCTGTTTTCCTCAAAAATCTTTTTTTACAGTCAATGGTCCCCTATATTGACACAACGCGGCCTCCTCCAGCGATGACCATGCCATCCATGTCCGCTCACGTGAATCCTCAGCAAATACCAGCCGGCATGGCTGTTCCTCTACCTCCTGGTGTTGGACAAACCTATTACAACCCGCAGAATGTTATGCCGAATCCAGTGCATCACCAGTTACGACAAAGTATACCACAACAACAACAGCAGCAAACCGGTGTACAATTTGGGTGAGTAGAAAGTTGAAGTTTTCAGTTTGCACTTGTAATGGAATAGAGTTGTGGCTGATTTTCTATGCTGACAGTGAAATAACTTCTATCNCCGCAGAATGTTATGCCGAATCCAGTGCATCACCAGTTACGACAAAGTATACCACAACAACAACAGCAGCAAACCAGTGTACAATTTGGGTGAGTAGAACATTGAAGTTTTCGGTTTGCACTTGTAATGAAATAGAGCTGTGGCTGATTTTCTATGCTGACAGTGAAATAACTTCTATCAATTTGGCTTTTGCTGGTCGATTTTTGCTGTATGAGCAGTTCCGGATTTCATTGCGTGGATTCGTAACAATCATAAGGTTTAGGGAAGTAATGTCAAGGGCAAAACAAGGCTTAAAATATAGTAAGGTTTCAAATGGGGATAGGAAGCAGTGTGAGAACGCTGTCCCTTGAATAAGTCTTCAAGACAGCGGAAGCTTACGAACGAAAGGTCATACTAAAGGCAGCTTTCTGCGAGGGATTTTATCACATTCGCATTGACAGCTGTCATCACATAACTTCTATCAGGCCTCCCGTGATGTCGATCTACCCGCCAGGGAGTTTATCGGCTGCAATGAGAGGAGATCCTACAGTGAACCCTTCCGTGCTTGTTGGCAATCCTCAGCACCAGAGAAAAGGTAGAAGAAGTCGAAACAAAAGGGATAATCAATAGCTGTTCTAACTTCGTTCATTTGTTTTGAGTAGTGTCGTAATCTTGATAAGAATCTCGTTTGATATTTCTTTAATCAAATTTTCTATCATCTTATACGAGAATAGCACTCTATATGGGGTCGTTGTCATATTTGTTTGATATTTGTTTTTATCTGACAACCAAATGTGATGCGGGTGCGACATCTTTCATTTGAATCCTTCGAGTTTAACCGTAAATGAAAATTTAGATGATGACCGAAAAGGTGAAGCCCGCTTTGGTTTTTGTGAGTTGTTTTCACATCCCCTCCAGTCTATTGAATCCTTTTCACTTTGTGCGGGTTCCGAGCTCTAGTTGTTCCTATCATTGGCCGTGCATGTTCAGAGAGTATTCGTGTAACAATTGTTGTTTTTCTTTTCGTTGAAATTAATCACTGACGTTGATGCCTCATTTCGGAAAGAGAATGTCGTTGAGAAACCAGTCCATTCTGATAATTCGGTTTTTAAAAGCTGTGATATGGAAACAAGTGTTGAAGTAGCCATGCCCTCTCTCCTTTTGCCTTGCTCTTGCGGAGACCATGTGAAGCCCTCCGACAAGCTGCTTACCTCCTCTGAACCTTCCCGTGTTGTGCAAATGTTCAGATTCATGCTGTTTATACAATCATTGAGTATTTCATAGTTATAAATGTACCCAGTGATGAATACATTCAGGAGTATTTATATAAATTTATTTCACGAATAAATAGTTTAATGAGAGCTTTTGCGTACTTCTCTGCATAGATTTTCAAGATAATAAAATACGATGGCGAAATGGCAAATTGATCCCAATGGAGTGCAGGGAGGAGGCCTGGAAAAAGGTTTATAGCTGGCAAATAGATAGCGTAGGTGTCTCTGACTCTTGGTAGACGCCCGAAGGCTTAGTTCAACATGAAAATTGTTGTTGGCATATCCGCCCTGGTAAATCCGTAGACTCGAAGAATGACATATGTGGCATGTGGCGCTGTCAGGTGGAAATGCAGCTTAGAGAGGGTGCATTAAGGCTCAAGAACTGTATCAACTGTATGCCACACCCAAAAGTGTTGCGAATACCTCAGAGACGCTGTACAATTGTCAGTGGAGCACACATTTTGAAAGCTCAAACAACTAGTCGTGACCCATGGACGCTGAAAGGCATTTCTGGCTTACTAAAGCCAGTTCTATGCAGTAGCACACAACTGCTAGTTTGGCTAAAAACTCCGTGCTACTCAAGTCGTCCTCATCTCGAACAACCTTTTTATGTACAGTTTTTGAAGCATTTTATCTGGGAGCTCGATTTTCGCGCATCTTCCCCTTGGTCGCGTCTGCCCACCATCAAGGACGCTGTGGTGAGGAAANTACAGGACGGTCAGTATCTATTCGCCAACTATAAATCCGATTTCACAACAAACATCGTAAGTAATAGTACACTGAGGGAATCATGTATGAAAGACACTTCAACTGAGTGTGAGGTAGACATGGCATTGATTAGCTGTATGTATTAGATGATCGACTCGTTCCTTCGAGAATTTGAACGATTATTTTGACCAGAGATAAGAACCGATATATACGAAGTGATCAGGTCGTCCATCTTGTAACCCTGAAATCGGAAGTTCATTTTCGGGCATTGCATTTCACAATGAATCAGGAAATTCACCATAGTAGTATCGAGAAGTAGTTTCTTCCCCTCATTGCCCCTTATTCCATTTCCAACAGTCATGTTGAAGTAGGTATTGCCGCTTGTCCAATTGCATATGACGTTGAACGGATACTGGAACAAAATTTGGTACACTGTAACACCCAGAAGTAAGCTTTTTCAACCCAGGTGCCCAGAAAATACCGAAAGACATTTTGCGCTCCACAACGGGCGTTCTCCAGAAGTGTACGGCGTGAACTGCCTCACAATTTTTTTTGCTAGGCGGCAATCCCATAAACAGCAGGACTAGCAGAAGGACGAGATGAGTAGAAGTACAATAGGTGATTAATAAATAAAAAACTAAAGAGGCAATATGTGATTCCATATGAGAGGAGGGGGGGGGGGGGGGGGGGGTTGAGAAGGTCCTAATGACATAATCCCTTCGAGCTGCCTCAAGGAGGTTTCAGCCTCTGTGCCACTGGTTTATTTGCTTTACAGTTGATGAAAAATCCGTGGTCATAGATAGGACACAGCGCTATTCGTAAGTGTGCCGCTGCCTACCCTGTCGTTCTTTGAAGGCAATAAGAAATGCACTTTCCCGACGAACGATTCAGTGACCAAATCGATCACATGCCATCTGAAGGCTGTGTAACTGGTACTGACGAACAATTGATTTTCCTCGAACGCTGCATTTTTTTGTTGGTCGCATGGACCAAGCCGAAGCTACTGGTGAATTGTCAACCGAGTTATTTCCACGAATTCTCATTCAGTCTAGGGGGATAGGCTGTTCAAAAAAAGGATATTCATGGGGTACCTGTGTGATTAACGTTTTTGACTCGCTATTGTAGAGATGTACTCCTTTCGGATTGATGGCTATCAACAACTTGTCCGGCAGACTAAGATCGGAGTACTGTGAAACCTGTAAATCAACGATGAAGTTCATAGCTAGCCCTAAAGATATTCGTGAACAAGTGCCAGAAAAGTTGGCGAAAGTGAAACAATGACAGGTTATTGGCCATTAAGGACTGAATCAGAACCTGTGGAAGCACTCCCACTGGAATACCCCCATATGGTGAAGTCACAATGATCCTCAGGCTCACTTTTGCACTTGGTCACTGTTGTAAGAACTCTGGGAATGATCAAGTAATCAATATTATGTATATGTACTTGAGGTCCGTTTTCTCTCGTTGCTTTGATCACACTTGCTGATTACAGGGGACGCGGCCGTAGAAAAGGTCTATATGGAACAGCTTCGGGGTTCTGGGGAAGCCGCGACCGTCTAACGGGGGACAGCTTTGAATAACAACTATTTCGGCAGTACACCTTGTTGATAGCGACTCTAACAATAAGTCCCTTCGACCTGCCTTTTATGGTAAGAGGTCTCTAATAAGGATAGGTACATATTACTGATCTCAACATGCGTTCCACAAAGATGGTTGGTCAGGGAAGTTAGATTGATTACTCTCCCATTTAGCAGCTGTTGAAAATACTACACTCTTGGTCACCGTAGGGCATCGACTGAATAAATGTGTAAGCAGCCCAAGTCATGCCAATCCAATCCCTATGCAGTCTCGAAAAGTTCAAAAGACTAGCAGTACAAGAGGTCATTGTGAAGATGCGAAATGCGTCGGTAGCGACTGGTAAACTTACTGGGAAAAACGCTGATCCAAATGAATCCTTCTTTGACATAAGAGTGAGGAATTCGATCTTAGCTTGATCCGATGACATATGCTCAACTTTGACGTAGGCAGATGATATTGCCTGAAAGCAACTCCAGTACACGCAAGAAGACCCTTCAGTCACTTTTCCTTTCGTGGTAATTAGCATTATTTGTGAAATTTTCAGATGTCATGAATGCATCCGATCGATACCCGCCCGCGAAAGCTAAACCTCCCATCCCTACGNGAGTTCAATTCAAACTTCTAATCCCTTCCCGTCCAACACTGCCCTGCTCAGACCATTCAATGGAATGAACGCTGCCGCTTTTGAAGGAAAGAAGCCTGAAGGTCTTTTCCAAAAACCTCTTGTGTGATTTGGTCAAATTAATTGGACCATAACAGAGCTCCCATTTCTGAGGAGACCACGACTCATCCCGTTTTTCTAGGAAAGCAAGTTTGTCTGTTAAATAATGTAGATATGGTCTCCTGAAGAAAAGAAAGGACCTTTTTCCACTCGCCCAATGATGTCGATTTTATCAAATCCGTCGGCACCAACTCGCTCAGTAGTTGAGGAATTTGTGCTAATGGAGCATTCTGGAATGAAACTACTTTTACGATATCTATTCGGTTTGAAGTGATGAATAGCTAAAGAACCTTGGAGTCTTTGGTGATGGCTCGAAGGATAATGGCACCAATCTCTACAGCTTCCTGCTTGGATACCTTATGATAGCCGAGTAGGTACTTCGGACATTCCTTAAAAGGGACGATATTCAGTGATTCATAGTTAAACCAATGATATGGACTTTATGGAAAAAAATTATTGGTGTGGATCACAGTTCTATGAAGTATTACACTGGAAAAGACTAGAAAAGAAAGTTCCCGACCTGTTGGTAGTGGAATATCAGGTCAGCATTCCGATCATCCCCAGGTTTTACATTCATCCATAACTTTCGCATGAAGAAAACTTGGTAGTTGACTGGGATTATTGAGTTCTCCTGGAAAAGATGAGTTTGATCCGAAGATTTGGAAGTTCTGCCCGAGATACGCCTCACTTTCAGCGCATGATTATTCTGGACCCAATCGGATAGCTGGCGTACAAAGTCGAAGAAGAATTCGCTTTCCGGCACCGCCAAAACTGAAAACAGTCAACGGTTGATTCCCTTAGTTTCCATTAGTGTTCCAATTTTAACTTAAAGAATGCTTTTAATGCTACATATAGTTTATTGCAGCTTCCAATATACTCGGATTGTCGAAGCTATTCTGCATCTACCACTGTTCAACCACTGTCTGTGTTCAAAGAGTTGATAGATGTGACGAAAAAAGCAAAATGAGATGCAAATATGTTTAAAATTCTAACTGCTCGACAATATCCAATCGATATCACATTTTAATCAGAACTACCTTTTTCCTTGATTTTCACAAAGAGCGAGAAACCATCAGGCTTTTTCAGTCCTAACCGCTGAGCTATTCGTCTGCAAAAATCTCGGGCTCTCGTCGACGACTCGACTTCGATCGCTTCATCAGACTGATCCGGGAAGTAAACCTAAGAAAAATTCTTCTTGTAAATGCAGAACAAAAATTTAAACATATTCAGCTATAAGAATTATTCAAAGTGATAAAGCCTTCGGCGTTAATCAATCCCGTCTGGGGGATGTGCCCCCGCATTCTGCTTTGATTCAAAACCGTAGTGGCTTAAAACCGTAGTGGCTTATTGAGTACGTAAGTGGTATGTGTATCTGGCCCATATAGTGACTTGTGGTGGCTAGCCGATGTCGAAGTCAGCGCATTCATTCTCCCGACGGTCTGCTATCAAATAACAACTCCCGGAGGGACTTCAAAGGACTTTATCCTTTCATCCTTCAAGCATTCATTTCATTCTCTCAGAAAATGAACTCACTGAAGGCTATGGCCTTATGGTTGAGATAATGAAACATTGCTCGAAAAAATATTTATTGGGAGAACACTAAAGATATAGAGCGAGTACTTTTTTCGCTCCCATCATAGCAGGTGACCTATCCCTTCCAATTTTTATTCTGGCCTCTAAAAGATACTTAAAGAATTTGACATGTACTTCATCCCCATCCATGCGAACTCACTCATCGATGTGTCTCCTAACTTTTCACCCCTAAAAATGCGAGTCATCATAACTAACGTTTTCGGCATCTGGTCTAGGAGGAGAGAAGTACACCCTTCTATCGAAGCCTGCAGTTAATGACATCCATTTTACTTCTGCAGCCTAGAGGCGACTTTTCATGGAAAGATCATAGTCGAATGGGAGAAGAGGGTGGGGGGGGGGGGGGGGGGGG